CGCCACTTCTTCAAAATAGACTCGCCCAGGCCGAAAACCGACTTCTGCGCATGGGCCACGAAGTTTCAATTGCACTGTATGTGCGCGCCCGCACGTGGTATTTTGTGGAAGAGCCACACTCAAGGGGCCAAAGAGCCGCATGTGGCTCCAGAGCCACGGTTTGCCGACCATTGGGTTAGAGCATTGTACTGATACACCAAGGTTGTGGGTTCAGTCCCTGGTCAGGGCACATACAAGAGTCAACCAATGAATGCCGGAATAAATGGAACAACAAATCGATGTTTCTCTCAAATCAATAAATTTAAAAAGAAAAAGAAAAAAGACTTCCACACTGCAGTTTTTGTTACCACCCCTCCCCCTTTACTTTTCACACAGCCACCTCTCCCACAGTCTCTGCATCTAAAAGCATTTCTTACCCACCCCTTCCTGAGACAGTTCTGGTCTAGTCCCTGAGCATCTCCCTGGTGTTATCATCCGCATTAATAAAGGCTTTCCCTACTGACGTCAATTCCTGCGTGTCTTCCCTTGAAGCCGATACATAGTAAGTGGTCAAGGCAAAGAAGCCCTTGGTGCTGTTGGGAGCCAGCTCACACCTACAGGAGCCCGAGGCTTGTCCCCCAGGAAAGGCATCTCCATCCGGGGCACCTGGAGCTACGGGCATCTCAGCGTTATTAGAAAGTGTCTTGTGATGATGATGGTACTAACAGCCAAGAGCCAAGCGCCAGGCGCAGTTCTGAGCCTGATACACAAGCTCCTTCAGGTTCTGTTCACAGCAACCCTGTGCCGTGGTTCACAGACTTCCGCGTGCATCAGTCACCTGAGGGCGTGTGAGAACAGATCTCAGGCTCCCATTTCCCGAGGTTCCAGTGGGTCTGGGAGGGGTTTCTAAATTGGCTTTTCTAACAAGTTCCTGTCAATACATGCTGCTGCTGGTCAGGGGACCCACTTTGAGAACCACAGCCCTAGGAGATGAGTGCTTTGATTACGGACACAACTGGCGCAAGGCAGCCTGTCACTACTTGAGCCAAATTAAGCAGACACAGGGTTGAATCATATTTGAGCATTTATTCTAATAATGCCGGCAGCTTGAGAGAGCAGTCAGAAAATCTATTATTCCCCTCGCCAGTTGGCGGGTTACATACGGGCAAGGAAGACGATAACTAGACGCAGCTGTGAACTACGAATGTAACAGCGGAAGGGGAGGGGAGGGTCTGCAGTCCGGCCTTCAGGAGTCAAAAGTCCGATAACAAGTTGACTAATCTTCTATGATGTTACAAACAGCTCTGCCTGTTCCTGGAACCGGAGAATAGTCAGCATTCCTGAGAAAAACTCCCGGATGGGGTGAGAGTTCAGGCACACCAGCCAAATCCAAGTGAGTCCTGTCCTTGATCTGCTTTTAAAATGCGTTTACTTTTATAGCACATCCTCCTGTTTCCCAGGCTCTGTCAGAAAACCTCTTATCTGTAGTTAGTAAGGTGAATCATCATTAAACAACTGTGTTCCTATTCTTATTACGTGCCCTTCCCCCATCACATTGTATGCCCATTTTACAGCGGAGATGGTCCCAGCTGTGGGGTGTACAAAATCAAGGGGGGAGTCCGGTTCCTCTCTCCAGTGAAGGAGTAACGTAGATGTGCTTCAGGCCAACAGGGCTTAGCAAGGAAGCTGAGCCTGAGGAAATCTGCCTTCATTTTCTTACCAGGAGCCCATCACCTACATTGCACACTGGATTCCGGGTGCCAGAAGGCACCAGGAGAAGCAAATGGAAGCGCTGAGATCATCCTGAGATAAGGCACCAAAGCTCCCAGGGCCAGGCTCTTGACTTCGATGCCAGCTTACCTGGTGTCATGCCAAAAGGAGGAAAAGACAGGTGAGCCACACAGAAGGCACGCTGCTGCCCACACGGACTGGGCCTCCGCATCTTCCCACCCCACCAGCTTCCAGGACGGCGGTTTGCCCTGTGCCTCCTGGGTGTTTCTTTGCTTGATTATTTCTGAGACAAAAATTCAGCAGCTTCCCTATCTATGATCAAGTCAGTGTCACAAGTTTAAGCCTACCTCTGATAACAAGGCTTCAATGACTCATGGTTTTGAGAAACTCAGGTATGAACAAAGTGAGGTTCGTTCATTGACCAATTCTAAAGACATACATTAAACATACTTTTTAAAAATTTAAGTCCACAAAAAGGATATAGAACCATATAGTCAAACTCTCTCGATTCCTATATGATTTCCCAAAAGCCAAAAACAGGGAAATGTTTTCAAGAGAAGGTTTGAAAATTTTGCTGAGTCACTGACTCTGTCCTGATGTTTATGTGTTTTTGCTTTCTTATGTCCTCCCGTGTCCCTTTAACCCCCAGTGGTTGCTGCCTTCTGATCTGGGTTTTATTGTCCTCAAAGCAGACCTGTAGCTCTGGGTCAAGCACACCTAAACTTTATTCTCAAGTCCATAGGGCCCACTGAGGAATCCAGCTTCCACTCTGAGAACTAACCCACCCTCTGAATTAGGAATCTGATCTGTCTTCAGATCACTGCTCACGTGGCCAGATGAAATAGCATGTGAGAGCTCAGTAGAGAACACAGTTCCCATCCCAGGAAGCAACAAATACTTCCTTTAAATGATTTCATTAGTCCCAGCATCCTGTGCGCAGATGGTGGTCTCCACTCTATGAGGAGAAATCAGGCAAATGGTAGAATCCCCCCAGTCTCATAGCCCAGCCACATGGTGAATTAGTAAGGCTTGTAGTCTGGTTGTTCTGACTCAGTGTTTCCTTGTCCAGCATCCCAGGTCCGTAGTCCAGGGAGCAAGAATCACACACAGTGTCATTCCAAGGCTAATTAGTGTCTATACTATGGATATGGCATGTGAGTCTTCTAAGTCCATCCACCCCTCTGCACAGCTTGCTGCCCTTCACACATACTTTCCCAGTTGCTAAATCTCCATGGGATCCATGTAAAATGTAACAAGCAGTGATAGTGTCCACTGATGGTTGCATGACTCTGGAAAGTGAGTGGGACTTGATTGAGAAAATTTGGGGAATGGTACAAGAATCTTTTCTCCGAGTTCAAGAGGGAAATGGGACTAGTGGTAATTTGAATGATACAAGAAAAGTGTTTTAGTTTCACCAAGAGGAAAGCAAAACTAAGTCACATATCTCGTCTCCCCAGTGAAAGCTTCTCAAGGACAGAGACTTTGTTTCCTAGTGCTGGGGTTCCCTTGTGATAGACACACAGAAAATACCACCACGGAATGACAATTATTGGTCTAAGGGAGGACTTGCTTCCAATTTGGCCCCAACTCTCTGGGGACCCTGGTCTTTGGCCAGAACTCAGTGGGTCTCGGGTGGGTTTGAGGAAAACCTGCTTCCGGGACACAGAAATCGTAGTCCGTCTTCATTGCCCTTGGGGATCTTAGAAATGCCACAGAGAGTGTAGAACTACCTTATTCCTTAGCGAGTTCCTAAAACCAGGAACTAGGCAGCAAGGATCCCCAGCAGTGGTTCTCAACCTTCCTAATGCCACGACCCTTTAATACAGTTCCTCATGTTGTGGAGACCCCCAACCATAAAATTATTTTCATTGCTACTTCATAACTGTAATTTTGCGACTGTTATGAATTGTAATGTAAATATCTGATATGCAGGATGTATTTTCAGGGGTCGTGACCCACAGGTTGAGAACCGCTGCTCCTAAAGTCATCATCCCATCCTCAGGGTCCTGGTGGATTCTCAAACTCCCAGGGAGTCCCGTAGAGCAGTGCAAGAGCTCCTTGTGGGAGACATCTTGGGGTGGTCAGCTAAGTAGCTCTGGTTGCCTTCCTGATCCTCTGAAGTGAGACCTTTTCCTGCCACCCCTCTCCTAGAAGAAATCTAGCTGGACATTGTGGAGAAAGAGAAATAATTTGTGGTGCATGAAAAAAATGCTAAAAATGAGCATGGAGGCAGAAGTCATTGTAATGATGCATTTAATCTAGTAATTTCCAAGAATACTAGATAATACTTGGCATTTCCCCCGATGAGCACCCTGAAGTCCTAGGCATTGCACCCAACAGGCAACCAAACTTTTTTGTAAGCACATTGGGGCGTTGTCATTTGGACATGAATACTTCTATTGCTTTGTGAAAGGGTAGCAAATTGGGGATTTTTCCTGAACTTTCCTGTTTTAACTTTTGGGGTTTTCTTTTGGATTGCAGAAGCAATGAAAAACCATTTATGCTTTCTCTTCTTTCTGTTTATTATTTTGATTGAGGTGGAGGAGAAGGTTGATAAATAAGAGTGTGTTGCTGGAAATACTAAACGTTGACAGCCCAAATTACAGAATATCCCGAAGCTTCTATTTTGAAACCTTTCTACATTATAGTCATGTCAGCATTAAAACAGTCAGTGGAAAAATGACAAACCAATAAAAGCATAATTTTTAGTACCTCTTGACCCAGTTTACTACCCAATTGCAATGGCTTTGGAATATAGATAACTTCAGTTTCATCTTTGGTAGGCATAAGCTTTGAGCAATGTCTTACTCTCTCCAAGACTTAGTTTCATCTACCATCTATTATAAAATGTGGATAATATCAATGCACTCATAGAGTTATGTTAAAAATTAAATGAGCTCTGGCCAGGTATCAGTTGGTTACAGTGTCACCCCAATATGCCAAGGTTACAGGTTTGATCCCCAGTCAGAGCACAAACAAGAAACCAATGAATGCATAAGTAAGTGGAACAACAAATTGATCTCTCTCTCTCTCTCTCTCTCCCTCTCTCCCGTCTTCCTCTTTCTATAAAATCATAATGGGTGCAGAGCCTATCACCTTCCAGCACCAAAGATATTAGCAAAATGTCTAGGATCAAAAATGCTATCAAATAATACAAACTCCTATTTTAGATGAAATACTATACTATGGACATCTTTCATTCCATTGTTCAGCCTGTGAGCAAAGGGACTATGTAGTAAATCAGACACATTCAGTGACCAAAAGTGACCTCACAGGGTGATGTGCTCATGAATTCTGTTTTTTTTAATATTTTTTTAAAATTGATTTTTAGAGAGAGAGGAAGGGAGAGAGAAAGAAACATTGACACGAGATGGGCCCAGGTCAACACCCAACCAACACCCTGAGCCACACCGGCCAGGGCTGATCATAAATTCTTAACTGAGCAGGTCATGGTGAGCAGTCAGGCCTCAGGCCTATAACTTCCTTAGTAAAAGGTTCATCGTTGCTTTAAGCAGGCCCTGTCCATTGTGCTTGTACACCTAGGTTAACATATCTTAGAAATGCCAGAATAATATTATCTTTTAGACCAGCGGTTCTCAACCTGTGGGTCGCGACTCCTTTGGGGGTTGAACGACCCTTTCACAGGAGTCGCCTAAGACCATCGAAAAACACATATATAATTACATATTGTTTTTGTGATTAATCACTATGCTTTAATTATGTTCAATTTGTAACAATGAAATTGGGGGTCACCACAACATGAGGAACTGTATTAAAGGGTCGCGGCATTAGGAAGGTTGAGAACCACTGTTTTAGACCCTTCAGAAGCCACTCTCAAGGAGCACATGATCTTGTTACATGAATACCATCTCATTTACTGTAAATGTTAACTATCTTGTACCCACCAATGTAACTGAGATCTGTATCTCTTCATTTTACTTTTTATCTAATCATAGGGATTTCCTCTTTGCTTCCTCCCGCCTCCCTAACCTACCAATGGATTTCATGCAATCTTCCTTATGTTCCCGCCTTTGATTCCAAATGCATAAAAAGAACTGAAAAACTGCTATTCTCAGACTGTTGAGATCTTGCTTCCAGACATGTCCTCAGTTTGGCTCAAATACACAAAATTTTATATGTGTTTGGACATTCTTATGTCAACAGATCTTATCATAATTTATTTAACACTCTCCTTTTCTCTTGATAATCACTTAAGTGTTTGTTTTGTTTTATTGATTGATTTTCAGACTGTATCATAATTTATTTAACACTTTCCTTTTCTCTTGATAGTCACTTAAGTGTTTTGTTTTGTTTTGTTTTATTGATTGATTTTAGAAAGAGAGGAAGGGGGAGAAAGAGTGACACATCTATTTGTTGTTCGACTTAGTTATGCATTCATTGGTTGCTTCTTGTATGTGCCTTGACCTGGATTGAATAAAAAACCTTGGTGTGTTGGGAAGATGCTCTATCCAATTGAACTACCCAGCCAGGACCATTGAAGTTTAGTGTTGTTGTTGTTTTTGTTTTGTTTTTTATTTACAAATAAGATTGCAAAATGAATATCTTTGCATATCTATCTTTACAGGTGTGTACAAATATTATAAAACTAATTCTTGGAACTGGAACTACTTGCTGAAAAAAGTCATTCCAGCTTGTGCTCCCACCTGTAAGGAGAATGTTCCTTTCCGGCTAACCTGTAAACCAGCTCTTTTCATAAGCAAAATGTGGTCTAATTGCTGCTTTCTAACATGGAGAACCCAGTGTGCCAGGAACTTCACATACACAGTTGGAACTGATTTAATTTAATTTACTTCTTGAAACAATAATGAGGTAAGAATTTCTAACCTTTTTACAATTGAAAAACAAAATGTGAGTTAGCTGTGTGCCTTAGGCAAAAGTGCCCTGTGCTTCTAGAACACAAGCGATACTGTCCTTACCTACTACTTGGGTGCTATGGTGTTTTATGTGCCAATTTAGATAGGCTCTATAGTCCCCAGTTATTCAATCAAACAGTAATGTAGGTGTTGTTATGCAGGTATTTTAAAGCTGTGATTAAAACCCATCTCAGTTGACTTTATCGTTTCTTTTGTTTTCATATCAGTTGACTTTAAGTAAAGGAGATTATTTTGGATAGTTTGGGTGGGTCTGATTGAATCCGTCGAAGCATCTTAAAAAGAACAGAGTCAGAAATCCCACCTGTGGGCTTAGCTGTGCCCGGAGTCCCAGCCCGCTTTTCCTGACGGCCTGCCTCCCAGATCTCAGGCTTGCCTAGCCCGCCCCACAGTTGCATAAACTAATTCCTTTTTTTTTTTTTGGTACTATTCTTAGAATTTCAATTTTATAACTGAGACACAGAACATTTGAGCAATTTCCCCAGTCATACAGAAAGTTATTGGCAGTACTTAGATACAAATTCAAGCAGTCTCAGTCCTGATCCAAACCTTTTAGTTATGCTATATTGTGCTTGAACAGACAGTGATTTCGAGAAGGCATTCCATCCACACATTGAATAAGAACTAGTTTGAGGATTATCTGAGATACTATAAGGACTAGCAGATAATAGCACAACACACATAACACTTCATAAATGCTTATTTCTTCCCCCTTTAAACTTGTATCATCAATTTATTGATTAAGTTATTACATATGTGTACTTATCCCCACGTTACCCCCCATCCCCCCCACTCATGCCTTCACCCCCCTGTTGTCTGTGTCCATTGGTTAGGCCTATATGCTTGCATGTAAGTCCTTTGGTTGATCTCTCCCCTTAACCTCCACCCTCCCCTATCTTCCCTCTGAGGTTTGACGGTCTGATCGATGCTTCTCTGTCTCTGGATCTGTTTTTGTTCATCAGAAACTAATTCCTTTCAATAAATCTCAAGATATATCTCCTACTGGCTGTGCCTCTCTGATAGAAACCAATGGGGATGTGCTAAAAATAAAAGGATTATACATGTGGAAGGTGTTGATGGTGCCTATAAGTTGTGTGAGGGACATGTTATTTTCACAGTTTAAGTGTCCTGGGGAGTGGGCAGCACAGAAAGAAGGTGGAAGACTGGGTGCGGGGCTGGGCTAAGTTTCCGCCATCAGCAGGCTAATGGTTTTGAATAAATTATGTAATCTCTCTGGGTCCTCCATTTCCTCACTTATAAAATATAAAAGGAAGGAGTTTCACCACATGGACTCTAAGTACTTTTTCTGGGCTAAAATGTTTAAATGAATTTGCTTTATATTCATAGAGAAGCTTTGAAATCTTCTCTTTTTTATTGTGAGCTTCCAGGTTTCATTTGCAAACAATAAAATTTATCAGTTTTAAGTGTATGGGTTGGTGAGTTTCTCTACCTTTGTCATCCGCCCACTCTCCTAAGCCTGGCCCCTGGCCACCACTGATTGGCTTTTTGTCTGGATAGCTTTGTCTTTATCATAATTTTCATCATTCATAAAAATGGACTCATACAAAAAATGTTTTCTTTTGTGTCTGGCTTCTTTCACTAAGCACAATGTTTTTGAGATTCATATGTATTATTATTAGTGCATTTTGTTATAACTTCATATTGCCCATCTGTATTTTTTCTAAAATAGGCAGTATATACCCTTTATTCATTTTCTATCATGTTATTGATCTTTTCATTATACATTTAGAGAAGCACATCTTTAAAAAGTCAATGAATAATATGGAAGTTGACTTTATTATTTCTAAAGCTTTTTGAATGTCCCTTTTCAGCCACTGGCTTGTTTGGAACAAAGATGGCCATCGATGCCCCATTCTGCCTCCTCTGCCACCCTGTGGGGAGCTTCCTCCTTCCACCTGCCAGCTTGCCGCGGGGGAGCCTGTGCTGGCCTGTTGCTCATACTGCCCAGGTGGGAGTGAGGACTTTGGAAAAGGAAAGTAGAGGACCGAGCACTTGCTTCCACCCCATCTTTGGCACCATCTGGGGAGGGGGAGGGTTGTTCCCCAGCTGCAAGCACTTGCTTCCACCCCATCTTTGGCACCATCTGGGGTGGGGAGTGTTCCCCAGCTGTGGAGTTCCATAGTTTCCTGACCCCCTCCTTGTCCCTGAGCCTGTGCACCCAGTCCTGGGACCACAGACCCTGCATCCAACCCTCCCTTTAGTCCCACACACTAGAATGTACCACTCGGCAGAGGAGGAACTCTTACCCTCATCAAGTTCTGTCTCAATACCCACCATAAACCCTCAGAAAACCTTTGCAGGTGGGGACATTCCCCACAGGGGTCACTTCCAATCCTTAGCGAAAAGGGATCACTGGGCAGGTCTGCATGGCTGGGGGGACTAAGGAGATGGGAAAGTATTGGGACAGAGAAGTCACTCCAGCTCCACTCAGTCCCAGAAGCCACCTTGGTGCCACCCCCATGCCTCCTCTTTCCCAGGCTGCACCATCATGTCAGCAATGCTGAGAACAGTCCACCATGTCTCGCTGCCCTGCACTGGGCAGCTGGGGGAAGGGCAGGCCTTGATCTACTGCACCGGAACAGACGTGTGCCTGGCTTCCCAGGGAGATCTTGTGGCCCCTAGGGGTTAGGTTCTGTTGGGTGCCATCAGCGTGGTACCACTCAGGTACACGCCAAGTAAGTGGACTGTCCAGGACCAGCCTCAGTGCCTAACCACCAAGGTGTGGTCCCTGCGGGAAAACACATCTTGTTTTCTAATCAGCTGATTGGCCCTGCACGAAGGGACCTGCTTATCAACTGGGGTCACCATGTATAGTTCGCCTAGAAAGCTTGACCGAGCTTCTTAGACACATGAGTAGATTTTGTTGTTCAGTTTTTACTTTTTTCCCACCTCTATCTAGTACAATATGAAATTGAAGGGAATACACAGCAGCAAGGAGTAATTTCAAATTAGAGAGGTGACAATGGCAAACCAATGGTCTTGATTCAATTTCAATACCCACCTAAAATCTCTTTTATTAAAGGCTGCCAACCGGAAAACATTTACATAACAGTCCCCCTATGACAATTTCAAATGAATTTTTGTTCCAGAGTTTCTGAATCTCTAAAATTCCCATCTCTTAACCAAGTAAATCTACCTTGGAACCTTCAAATTCCCCGAATCTTTAGAGACTTGATAGTCACTCACTGGTCAGGGCTTTCTTTGTGAAAGGATTCTGGAGATTTTGCCTCAACACTCACCAGAGGCCTTCCCAATTCTTTTTTTTTTTTTTTTAATATATTTTATTGATTTTTCACAGAGAGGATGGGAGAGGGATAGAGAGTTAGAAACATCGATGAGAGAGAAACATCGATCAGCTGCCTCCTGCACACCCCCCAATAGGGATGAGCCCACAACCAAGGTACATGCCCTTAGCCGGAATCGAACCTTAGCCAGAATCGAACCTGGGACCTTTCAGTCCGCAGGCAGACGCTCTATCCACTGAGCCAAACCGGTTAGGGCCCCAATTCTTTTGAAACCAGACACAAAATGTGTCCAGGGCCGCCTGTCACTACTTGAGCCAAATTAAGCAGAAACAAGGTTGAATCATATATGAGAGTTTATTCCAATTATGCCGGCGGCATGGGAGAACAACAGTTCATCTTGAAAACTCAGGTGTAACCTCCCCTGCTAGCCGGCTGATTACATATGGATAAGGAAGAAAGGTTACATGCAGGGAGGGAGGGCGGGCAGGGATAAGGGCTGCAGCGGCCATGGTTCGTGTGTCTCCTTCCAGGATTTTGAAGTCTGATAACAAAGTAGTTAATTTTCTATGATGTTAAAAACAGCTCTGCCACCCTAGCCAGTTTGGCTCAGTGGATAGAGTGTTGGCTTGCGGACTGAAGGGTCCCAGGTTCAGTT